TAGGGTTTAGGTTAGGTTAGGGTTTAGGTTAGGTTAGGGTTAGGGTTACGGTTTTTTTGTTTTTTTTAATTGCCTAGTAGTCATATCCTAAGTGCCTAGTAGTCATATAATATCGCATCTAACTGCCGGGTGCCCCCTAGTTCGCCCTGCCCCTCTAATTACCCCTCCCCCTCCGCCTTCTCCTAGTTTTTCCCCGCAGCATTTCCTGCCGGCGGACGACTCGATGAGAAATCTCGTATGAATATCGGCGGACAGCGAGCGACGCATTACGATCGTCTCGTCGATCCGTCAGGCGGCAAAGCCACCGTGATTACATGCACCCGGCAGTTAGATGCGATATTATATGACTACTAGGCACTTAGGATATGACTACTAGGCACTTAAAAAAAACAAAAAAACCCTAACCCTAACTCTAACCTAACCTAAACCCTAACCCTAACCTAAACCCTAACCCTAACCCAAAAAAAAAATAATTAAATTAAATTAAAGTGCCTAGTAGTCATATAATATCGCATCTAACTGCCGTTTGCTGATTGCACCGTCTGCCGTCGAGACGTTCTCCTGTTCGCCGCTGGCTAATCCGCGATAGCCGCGAATCGATTTCCACTCGGGCCCGACGACGACTCAGATGTTGACGATGATAGTGATGAGGAAGATGACGTCGATGACGATGATGATGACGGCGGCGGCAATGATTGATATGATGACGACGGTAATGGTGATGACGATGGTGGCGGCGGCGGCGACGACGATGATGATGGTGACGACGGTGATAGTGATGATGGTGATGATGATGATGATAATGAAAAAGTTAATGACGATGATTGTCAAAAATGCATCCATCACTGCCACCCCTCCAGCGCCTCCTGCGCCATCTAGTGGCCATTAACGTGGACAAACTGAATGTGATGAGCGGGTCTAACGAGACCCACCCAACCTTTTCATTACCCGCTGCACGCTCTGCCACCTGGCGGTGGGTGGCAGAAAACGATACGCGACTAACGCGCAGAATCCCACCCGCGCCGCGCGTCTCTTCTCCCTCCTTCTCCTCCTACTTCTCTTTCTTCTCCTGCCTCTCTCTTCCGCCAGTCTTGCGGCTGCAGTTCCTCTCGTAATTGTACGAAAACAGTGAATATCGCGGTGGTTTTTTTCGATGGCGCCATCTCGCGGAACAAGCAGCGACCATTACGCTAATCGGTCTTTCCGCGTTTCGTCGGAAAACACGTCGCCGTTGATACGGTCGGGGTAATGGGCTCGAGCACGCCTTCCTTGCGGGGAGCGAAGGAAAGACGGAGGGAGATGGAGAGGAGGGGCGGAGAGAGATTGAGAGTGAGAGAGGGAGAGATAGTATGAGATAGAGCGGCAGAGGAAGGTAGATATATATATATATGAGAAGGAGCGGCGGAGAAAAGTAAAGAAAGAAAGAGAAAGAAAGAGAGAGAGATACGAGAGAGAGAGAGAGAAAGGAAGAGAGAGAGAGAGAGAGAGAGAGAGAGAGATGAGAGAGAAAGGAGAGAGAGAGAGAGAAGAGAGAGAGAGATTGTTTTTGCTGAACGTCTGCTATCGACCTCTCGCTTGGCGGCAGCCCGCAGAGTGAGGCCCACGTATTTACGATCGTTCTTCCCGCTCTCCTGCCTCTCCCGCCCGCCCTCTGCGTCGCATCTCAGCTACTAATCTAATACTCCCGAGGCTGCCGTTGCTTGGCTCAGTACGCTGGTCGTGCACGCACTGTGGGTGGGCAGGAAATGACTCTTACGCCCACAAACCCTGTCAGATCCCCTAGAATTCTCGAAATCATTTATGATACCGTTTGGTGCGTAAGACACCTGTCAAGTGGCGACTTGCGGCACTTTATGCCTAGAATTGGCCTTTTAGGAATGAATCTATCGCAAAAATGAATGGGGCGGACGCTAGTCAATTAACGGCCATGGTGTACCTACTATTGGCAATTAGACGTAGGTTGTATTTGAGAAGCCGTTAAATTGTATACAAGCCTTAACTTGTAGATGAATTTCTGGTGATGCACTTGCAGATTACTGTAGGTTTTGTGTTGTTGTCCCGTCGTGGTGTCCAATCATGCGCCTAACCTTACCGTTGCCTCTATGTGCATACGCGTTAGTATTTAACCGTCGGTAGTATGCGCGCATGCGCTTGCAAGTTTATCAACATCAGTTATCACCATCCACACCGAGTCGCCAACAAGAGCTCTACGTCACCAATCACGCGATAGAGGCCCTCGCGTGCGTGGTCGGCCATTGCCTACCTAGTTTTTCGTCTCCGCTCGGTCTGGCGCTTTGTCGCTGTGCCGGCACGTCAGCGCGTGCGCACTCTCTCTTCAATATCACACTTGAAACATGCAACGTACAGGCAAGACAGCACGATGAGGCATTCGATCATTAAGCACTTACAGAGATTCAATCGACGGTGCGGGCAGCCCGCTCCATGCTCACACGACAGACACAGCAGCGCACAGATAGATAGAGAATGAGAGCGAGGGAGGAGCGAAGAGTAGAAAAAGAAGAGAGAGAGAGAGAGAGAAGAGAGAGAGATGAGAGGCGAAGGAAGAAAGAATGCAGGAAGAGAGAAAGATGAGAGAGAGAGAAAGATTGGGAAAGAAAGGATATATATATATAATATATATAACATAATTATATAATATATAAATAAATATATATCAGGAGAGAGATAGAAAAAGGGTGTGTGTGTGCGTGGCGTGCGTGCGCGCGGTGCGTGCGTGGCGTGCCGTGCGTGTGTGTGTATGTGTGTGTTGTGTTGTGTGTGTGTGTGTGTGTGTGTGTGCGTGTGTGTGTGTGTGTGTGTGTGTTCGTGTTCGTGTTCGTATGTGATGTGAAAGAGAGAGGGGAAGAAAGAGTGAGGGTGAGAGGGGGAGAGTAATCAAGAGAGAGAACAAACAGCGCAAAATGTCGCTGCCGAGTATCATGCAATTATTTGAAAACATCACACAGCTAAATAGATTAAAACGAGACAAGCGCGTTTTATGAGGTTAGAGAGAAAGAGAAAGATAGAGAGAAGGGGAAGAGAGAAAGCGAGAGATAGAGAGAGAGGGAGAAATTAAGAGAGAAAGAGAGAGATAGAGAGAGAGAGGGAGAAAGAGAGAAAGAGAAAGAGAGAGAACGAGAGAGAGCGAGAGAGAGAGAGAGCGCGCGCGAAACGAGGACAGAAACAAAGAGCGAGGGAAAGAGAACGCGATAGGGGAAGGGAGAAAGGAGAAAGTGAGTGCACGCGCGAGAGAAAGAAAGAGAGAGAGAGACAGCGAGAGAGAAATAGAGAGACGCGTAACAGTACACTAAAATCAATAAACAAGTATTCGACAACACGCAACGGTCGATGAACACGCAAGCATCGCTCGTTAACTCACCCCCAGTAAACTCAGCATTAACCCAATGTTACGTAAGTGCTTCAAACACCTCACGACTACAGAGGGCGCGCGCATCGGCCACGATCACGGCAGAAAAACACGGCACGAGCAAAAAGCACTGGAAACAACAAAAACTCATCGAAAGACGGGGAACGGCTGGCTTGGGACGACAAATCGATTTTCCCTCGTTGTACAAACAACTTGATCTGCGGACGAAAGGAAAACGCACTCAAGCGGATCCCGTTCGGGCGACCCGAAAACGTAAAACGTTGAAACGATGAAATATCACCACAACAGCTGGCTTGTTATGAATTGCACGCCTATCCTCCCTCTGTCACCCCTCCCTTATCCTTCCTCCTCCCAGTCCTTCTTACTTCCCTACTTCGTAACATAGCACAAACCGCACTCAACACTGCAATAAAAGCGTAATGACTTTGTTGTTGTGCGTGTTTTCGGTTGTGCGGGTTGTTATTATCTCAG